GCTATAATTTTTTTATGGTTGCTTATTGAGCTTATTGGGTGCTCCCTTTTTGGTCAATAAACTTTAATTTTGTGTAATAAAAATGTAATAGAATGAAGTAACAAAATTTGTGTTAACTGTTTTTGAATAGAACAACATATAAATGGAAAAAAAATATAACCTTTTGTATGGTACTCCTCACTTAAGTGTTTAAAATATAAGCAAACGGCGTTCGGAAAGGTGAGCAAATCAATCACATAGTTAACTCTTTTCGAACATCGAAAGACGAACAATATCCCTTACTTTTCGCATAAGCAATTACTTTATTATATTACTATATTAGTTGGTAAGGTTCGTAAACGCTAAGACTGTCTGGTTATCTTTGTTCCAAAGTCAACAATCATCATTTATCAATTTATATTTAAGTTCGAATTGCTTTAGCTTAAGAACCATATTGTCACCCTATCAGAAGTAGGTATCACGTTTTAAAATATTAATATAAACCAATAAAATATATTTCAAATTAAACAACAACAATCGTAGTAGTTAATTGTATTTATATATAGCTGTGGTTGATGTGTTTGTTTAAATATTATAAAGCAAGTGTATATATTTGTGTTATTAATTGCAACAATTTGCTGTAGTTCCAAGTTTGAACTACATAATATATGTATACCACGTGAACTCAGGTGGTAAGCACTTGAGTCAGCGTTCAAAATTGAATGAAAAAGATCAAGTTTAGTTTATTTATGAACAATTAAATCCAAAAAACTATATTCAAATAATATCGATGATTTAGTATTAAGCAATACCTTAAAATTAAATTAATTAAAAAATACAATTTTACCTTTTTTTAATTTAGAATAGTCGTCTTTTTTTCGTTTAATTTTTTTATAAAAAACTTAATTATTTCAAATTGAGTACATAAACTTAAAATTTTTAAACAGTGGGAACGTTCTCACAGAGATTCTTTACACAAAACTTTTTTTATTTTTACTTCATGTTTTTAGTGAAGTAATCTAGCACTATTTCATATATTCCTTGTTCTTTTATTTTGAAATATATTTTTACATTTTTATGTTAAGCTCAGTTAAGCACTGATTGCATGAGTGAGTGAGGTAAAGCGGTTAACTTTGTAATTGAAATTAATTTAATTTTGTAGCACAATTTATTCGCAGTATGGCATTTATAACAAATTTTAATAATTTTATTAATTTAATAAATGATGCTGAAAACTTATTTTAATGGATTGATTGCATGTGACCCGTCATCATGAAAGGTAGTGAATGCTGGGCCAAGAAATCTGAATATAATTAAAAAACACATATAGATGAAATTAAAATGCAACGTTACGAGTAGTCATCATATCAGTGAACAAAATTATTTAAAAATGTCACCAGAGGAAATGTTAAGAAAGTTACCGGAAAACTGATAAGTTATAAGAAAATACTTTACGATGGTGTGACTACATAATAAGATGGAACAAAACTCATATTTTAAAAAGAACCGTGAATATTACGGAACCACTAAGTACAGGTGTTTTTGAACATTAGTGAACAACAACAACAAAAATTCATTTTATATTATTTTAATTAATTGAACTTTTGGCTGATTGAATTTCGTGTTTTGCCAAATACCCATCATCAGTGGTCTTGAAAATAATTTTTGTATTTCATTATTCGAAAACAATTTTTTGAGACTGAAAGTACCAGGAATCAAAGTCATGTTCTGCCAAATTTAATTAAATTAATAACTCTTTTTTGCCATTTTAAATAATATTTATATACATATGACGATCTGTGAAATATGTGTGTTGCAATAAACATTTCTATTGATAAATATTTGTTAGCCAGTTTTATATATTGAACCTTAAATTAAATGTTATCATTTGTTAAAATCCCTTCCTTTTGTTTCTAAATGGATTTATGAAATTAATTTTTGATTTTTTTACAATCTATATAGATTTTAAAATTTATTTACCGAGCCACAGTGTTAACATATTCGTGCATACTTAGACGTTTATTATTTAAACATCTTTGTATGAACATCAAATTAGAAGTAAGAACTGAGGCGATATCTTCTGCAGAAACTAACAATATACTCATAGACGAATTTCTAATAAGATGCTTATAGTTTTTGGATGTTAATGCAATGGGTTATATATTCTAATACTCCATATAATCTTCATAGATAGTGTATATGTACACATATATGTTATACTTATATGTCTCATATTCAAATATTTTTGTAAGCACCGAATATTAAATTAAAAGTGTGATCTTAAGGAATAACTTTTGCTGACACTAATAATACACTCAGAGACTAATTTTTTCATTATTCACTGAATTTTTAAGTGTTGATGAAATGAGTTATATCTTTTAATCCTCCAAATAATCTTTATATATAGATACAAGCATTACTTTTATGACGTTTTTGCATATCACACTTATCACTCTACATCTTGTAGGAATAATTGTGATTTCTTTTGGGTTCAATATAAAATGTATATCTGTGTATTTCATAATAAGAGTAATTCGGAATGCGTCACTTTCTGTAGATAATTAATTTCATAATTGTAAATATAATTTAATTTTGGTATTTTCAAAGTTATTTCTTCTAAGGCTGCAACATTGCTAAACTGCTTTCGTTAACAAAAATTAAAATTAAATGGTGTTCTGTTATTTATACTTTAAAGTAATGCGTTATTATATAAACAAATAGTATTTTTTTTTTCAGATAAGAAACTTAACTTTTCATTTTTAGTAAAATTGTTTACTTTTTCACAATATTACGTATGTGGTCATAATTACATTTATAAAAATTATTAGCAAACTTATTAACTCATTTTTAAATGAGTAATAAATAATTATATTAAAAATGTTTTAAATTTAAACTAAACGAAGATGAATTATATTTTTTAAATAATATTGATAAAAAGAAATATTTTGAATCGACTTACACTGTGGAGAACGATTTTCATTATTTCCACAAAGTTCTTAAGGTTAGTAACACGCGAAGGCTAAAATAAAACTAAAATCAATTTTATTATAAAATATCTTATAAGAGTCACTTAGTAAAAATAATTTTATTCTTACTTAGTGAGGCGTTTTATTTGGCAAGTATTTCACCTCCAAGTCTTTGTCTAAGTAAACTTATGCATTCTGATACAAGCAGTGGCGTCTTCTTATTCCTAACATGCGACTTTGGAGTTCAAATCAATTAAATCACATAAAACTAATGTAGGTTTCTTGTATTAAATAAATGTTTAGGTGGTTACTTTGTTCGAAAGCAAATTAAAGTAATTGGGAGTGTTAAAAGAGTCTTCTTTATATGATGTTTTTTTCATTGTTTAACATTGGTTTGGTTTGGGTTGATGTTTATAATTGTTCTTGTTCTTGCCTAGATATTCTCATTCTCAAAAAGGAAGCCACACCTTTTAGCCACAAAAAGCTTTTAGTAAAAATGCGTGCAAAACTATTTACTCAATAAAAACGTCTGACATCAGAAAATACTATTTAAATGCAATCTATCAGATAATTTTAAAAACTATTAAATGAAAGTTATTTAAATTATTTTACAATTAAAGAGGATTATGTAAAGAATATGATGTCATTATGTTAGGATAGTAATAAATGTGCTATAAGCTATTCTCAATCTTGATATTAATTCTTTTAGTAAGTGTTTAAAAGGTTTTTCGAACAGTAGTGAACTACAACAACAAAAATTTATTTTATATTATTTTAATTAATCGAATTTTTGGCTGACCATATAGCTTTTTCGAGTATTACTGTCATCAGTGGTCTTGAAAATAATTTTTGTATTTAATTATTCGTAAATAATTTTTTGAGACATATGTATAGTACTAGGAATCGAACTCGTATCTTGCCAAATTTGAAGCTCAGAATCAGCGCGTTTTAACCAACTGACCCAAAACGTTACTTGAATTTTATGTCCGCACATTTTTCTGGAGTTTTATCAATTTTGCTATGAACGTTTTATTAACAAATTCAATTGCTGTGTTTATATTAGAACGAAATCATAAACCAGCTGTAGAATAATTGAATTAATTTATTATATTTTTATTTTTTGTTTTTAATTATTAAATTTCAATACTATTCTGTTTATAGAGGCATTATTTATTGTATGATTTATATATTTTTTCTTATGTATAGAACCTAATCTGGGAATGAAGTACTGAGAAAGCATGCTAATGTTACTCCACAACTCGCACGGGCGAGACCAATATTTTGTGAATATAAGTTGTAATTTAACGTCAAATTTTTCAGAGGGAAGTGACTATTATACTTAATAGAAACTAGTATATTTCATAAAGAGGTTTTTCGTAACTCTGTTTAAGTAAATTTATTTAATCAACATAATATTTAAATAATATAATACTATTAATACTTTAAAATACTTATTAAATATAATATTAATATTTAAAAAGTTCAATTATTAATTGAAATTCTTGGTAAAGCCTGTAGTGTACACTCTAATGCTACTAAAAAATTAAATTTAGTTATTCTCTAGTGAAAAGTGAAACTAATTCTTTCGAAAATCAACTCTTTTTAAATTATTTTAATTTAGTGTTTTGACTTTAACCATTCGTTAGCTTAAAGAACGCTTTATGGTAAATATGCCACATAAAGACTTTCATTTTGACTTTTCCGAAGATGTCTACAAGCTGGTTTATTATTCCTCTGTAATGTTTACAAGTCAAAGGTTTTATGTCACCACAAGTTTTGAAAATGGGTAATTATAAACATTAAACACTTTGTTTT